TGGGTCAATCCTTCAGTGGAGCTGATCTCCAGGATTCCTATTTAATCCAACTGCTTTAGAAGAAAGAGATGGAGGAAAGGGCAGATCTGGGCCCCAAAGACTTCTTAGAGCGTCCTGTTATTAGCACTACTGTTTTAGTATTCCTGTTGCCTTTTTCTTCATTCCCCCAAAATCAACATATTCTAGAGAAGGTAGAGTGCAGATGTGTTTTTGTGACTCAAAGCCATATGAAGCCAAAATGAGTCTTTCTCCTGTCATAATTATAAGTAGGGCCTTAGGCTGTGTTTACTGCCTCTAAAATAAATGTGGTGCTTAGCTTCTCAGTTGCAACACTTTCCAGCTTTTATGAAAGAAATAAACAAAAATAAAATGTTATTTTAAAAGTAGTGTCAGAAATTAAATAAATTACCCTCAACAGTGTTGTATATTTAAAAAAAAAAATCGGAGGGACTGTTCAGTAAAGCCTTTACAACAAAAGCACACCAAAAAAAAAAAAAAATTTTTTTTTAAAGCAGTAAATAAAAAGAAAGCTTTCTGCATTTGGCAGTGGTTATATCTTATAATGTTTTAACTATTTAGGCTGCTTTTTTAAACTTTCTCTCAAATATATGTAGACTCAGCATGGTGTGAATAGTGTAAGCCTTATTAGTCTCTGGTGCCAGGCTGTGTAGGTTCAATTCCCAGTTCTGCCATGAACTGGCTGTATAATTATGGGAGAGTTACCTTCTCTGCATCTAGTTACTTCTTCTATAAAATGGAGATTATCGTCGTACCTGCCTCACAATTTTGTTATGAAGATTACATGAGTGGAAAAAAAACAAATACCTTGTAAAAGTATCTAGCACCTAAGTGCTATGTACACATTTGCTTATTTGTTTTTAAAGGCAACTTTATTGAGGTATAATTAGGGTACAATTTAAAGTGATAAATATTTATATAATAGCCACAATACTCAAGCCATACACTGTACCTGTCATCCTGACATGTTCCCTCATGCCTTTGTAGTCCGTTTTTCCCTAGACCCTGACAATCTCTGATCTATTTTCTGACCCTATACTTATGCTTTTACAGAATAAATTTATACAGAATCATCAGAGTCATGTAGTATGTAGATCTCTGAGTCAGTGTGGGGATTGGTAGATTTTTCGGTGAAGAGACAGATAGTGCATGTTTTAGGCTTGCAGGGTATATAGTCTGTGCTGTAACTACTCAACTCTGCTATTAGAGTCATGGACAGAATTAAACATATTGATCAGGCAAGACTGTGTTTTACAAATATTTGCCTACAAAAACAAGCAGCATCCAGATTTGGGTTGAAGACCATAATTTGCCAGGTCCTGATTTAGCATGATGCCTTTGAGGCTCCTTCATGTTATTTATTGTGTGCATCAGTAGTTATTTTTTGTTGCTAATTATTTTCCATTGCATCAATATATTACAGTTTAGTCATTCACAAGGTAAGGGACATTTGTAGGATTTTTTCCCCCCAGTTTTGGGCATTATAACTAAAGTCATTGTAAATTTTTGCTGGCAGTTTTTTTGTGTGTGGACACAGGTTTTCATTTCTTTTTGGGTAATTATCCAGGACACTTTTTGCTGGGTTGAATGGTAAATGTGCATACACCTTTGTAAGAATCTCCTAATCTGTTTTCCATAATGGCTACACCATTTTGCATTTATGAAGGCAAGATGGGAAAGCTCCAATTGGGAGGCATTCTCAACAGCTCTTGGTATTTTCCTCTGTTTTTAAAAATTTCAGTCATTAGAAAAGACACTAGATGGAAGATGTTACCTTAATTAAGTCGGAAACTCTTGAAGGGTTTTACACATGGAAATGACACTATTTGGGTTTTTAAATGATTACTCAATTTGCAGTGTAGAGAATGATTTGGAAGGAGGCAGGGTGGATGTGTGAAGACCTCTGGGAGGGGTATTACATTAGTATAGGGGAGAGGGAAGATACCTTGACTTGAAAGGTGACAGTGTAGAGGAAGAAGTGACTATATGGGATAATTTTCAGGAGGTAGAATTGACAGGACTCAGTGATTGGTCAGATATGGGATTCAAGAAAGTGGAAGCTCTCCTGAATTCTGCCAGAATTTCTGGGACATGCAGCCACATGAATAATGTCACCCTTACTGAGATGAAGGATACTGGCTGAGAAGAAGTTTGGAAAGATAAAGTTCTCAGATCAATTTTGAAATACATGTGAAACCTCCAAATGAAAGTACCAACTAGTCAAGTCAGTTTGATATCTGGGTTCCAGAGTGAGGGAACAAAATTAGAAGTCATTGTGGTATAAAGGATATTTGATGATATGGGGTAGATGAGAATCTCTAGAGAGAGCTCCTAATGATATGAGAAGAGTGACTATAAGGCATCTAAAAAGGAGCATGAGTGATTAATGTTGCGCAGTTGAGTGACATCTAAAGAAAGTTGAAAGGGAGTGGATCAGGAACATTGGAGAGAAAGATGCCACTGTGAGTGACCAATTAGTTGTGTGCTATTGGTTGTAGAAGAGTAGTGAGCATTTGTCTTGGTGGCAATGATGATGATGATGTGAAATATAGATTAGAGTTGAGGCTTGAGCGAGGAATAAGGCAGTAGAAAAACAAGGGCTTACAAATCTTTCAAAAATCATTAGGATGACTATTAGAAACATATGAAAGGTATATATTGTTTTAATTTTTAAGATAAGAGAGGTTAGAATATGCTGGGGAGAAGGGTGAGGCCCAGGAGTGAAGACACGAGGAACAGGGTAGCCAGTGGGCATGACTAATGCTCATCAGCTGCCTGCTGAAGGAGAATCCCCAACCCCCAAGTTTAATATTCATAGTTGGAGAATAAGGAGATGTTAATGTTACCAGGTTCTAATGAACTGTATCATAATATGGTCTTTAAACTTATTTTTGAGTATTTCTAGAAAAGTTACCAAGCAGAAAATGTCAGCAATTATTTTGATGTGTGAAAATGCTCTGGCGGTTTAGTCACTTGTCAGTCTCATGTTCAAGTTCTACCCATCTGTCATGGCACAGTTGAAACCCTCAAATGAAAGGCTTTCCCTCCCTTGTCTGAATGGTCATAGCCTGGTGGTGTATTTTTTTTTTTATTTGTTTTGTTCTTTCCTTTTTTTCTCTATTTTGACATTGGTTCCTTCTAAATAAAATTTGTTATGTATGTATATTCTGTGTATAGTTGGGTGTGTGTATTTTTTTCCTTTTTCTACTTATCATTAGATGATGGAAAGCAAAGATCATAGCTAAAAGAGCAACTAGCAGTTATATTTATTTAGTTTGTTACCTTAATCGTATGTGAAGGTAAATGTGAGGAAGTAGTTATTAGCAGATAATTAGGAAGAGTTATCTGCAGAATAGAATTTTTGTGGCTTGGCACCTGAATTAATAGCTTGAAAATTTATGATATCTAATTATAACCTTTGTTTTTATTATACTTAGCAAGATACATTTTGAAAGTTCCCTGTTATATGCTACTAAATAGTAAAGTTATTAAATAATAATAGTAACAATAATGACTATTCAATGGTACTCTGTAATTTAACAGGGACTTTAATATCATTATTCCATTAAGACTGAGGATAACTCAGAGATGCAGAAATAGTACATCACAAGAGTTTTGTCATCATTTTACAAATGAAACTGAGGCCCAAAGAGATTTGTCAAAAGTCTCATTGCTGATAAACAGGGATGCAAAGGCCCAAATTGGGACCCTCTCACCCAAATCCAGGTTGTTCTCAATGAAACCTATGTCTTCTAGATTACTTGCATAGAAGTTCAATTGGTCAGGTGATAATTTAATCCAGATATGGGGTGTAGTTATGTTTATTTTATTTAACCAAATAAAAAATTATTTATCCTGAGTGATCAGAGTAACCTCTATGTCAGAGCTAAGATCACAACAAGCTTCGACAAGCTTTGTTCTGGTAATGCAGAGGCTGATGTGTGGCCCCTACTGCAGAATGGGAAAACACCACTGTTGCAGGTTGTGTTGATGCTATGGTTTGAAGAGAAGACAAATTATGTATCCTTGGATTATTAATAGATGAATGGGCTCACACCATTCAATATAGGTTTTTAACCTAGTGTTAGCAATTTTGGAGAAAAAAAAACAAGAAGAAATAGGTACCAATTTTTCTGTATTTTTGATTCTGAATTCTGGCTTTGCCAACTTTTTTTTTTAATGTCAGAATAATTTTTGATTTAGGATGATGTTAAGTTACATTATTATAAGAGAACTAGGGATACCTAGTTTATTTATTACCATTGAAGAGGATTATGCCTACTTTAGGTATATTATTTCAAAAACTGAAATATTGCATGATAAATACTTGAAAATTAAATTTATCTTAAAATATTTAATGGGGAAACCTATAATTAAAATCTTTGAAAAATATCATTCCCATTGAACATAGCTGATTATTTAAACTGGATAGTAACTAAATAGATTCTTTTTAATTGTACTAATTTAAACCTAAAGACACTGATCTCTAGAATATATTTTGTCATGAGAATTGAGGAATAAGGAACATATACTTTTAAGAAATTGTGGAAAGACATAAACTGCTCTTTTTTTCTCCTTTCATGTAGAGTCAACACATTTAAATGTTATCTGAATTGTTGTTACTGGGTAAATTATTTGCTCTCTTACCTCATAAATTATCTCTAAAGTATTTGGGAATTGCTATTTGATAGTGGAAATAATAGAATTTGGCTGTATTTAAAATTAAAACTATAAATTAATATATTTAATTTTAAACCCCGTGTTCTATGGCTAAATGGTTGAGATTCATAAAAACAAATACACCTAGCATCCCCCACCCCCATCCCAAGGCAGTTAGTCTTGTAATTCTGTGTGAACTGTGGATTGTGTTCTCACTCCGGTGTTCCTTATCTCCATTGCAGATTTCTGTTTCTATTATGCTTTAAGATTTATTAAATTGGCCTTCTAGATGAACAACTGAAAATGGTCTGCTTTTACATCAGGTGAACCTGGCCTATGTGGAAGCGGCAGAGTATTTTACAGAACCTGTTAACAGGGAACCTCCTTCCAGGGAAGCTCAAATACTAACTTTGAAGAACACACCTGAATTTGATATCCTTGTTATCGGAGGAGGAGCAACAGGCAGTGGCTGTGCACTAGATGCCGTCACCAGAGGTAAGTCTGCTGTGATGAATGTGAGGTAAAGTTATCATCCTTCTCCCCAGTATAAATATGGACAGCATGTACTATATGCGAGTGGAGTCACGTTTCTGCTGGTATTTCCTAATTTTCCTTCTTTGTGAAGCACCTTTACAATTTGTAAAATATAGGCACTGCACAATTTTTTAAAAAAATGTCTTGTTTTCACTTCAGTGGATTTATCTAAAAAGCACATATTATATTCCTAAAAATTCTTCGATATTCTACTTTTTTCCTAATTCATAATAAATACGTTTGTATGAAATTAAAATATTTGTATATCACCTGAAATCACACATAAATGAAGTAATCTATTAAAATAAATATTCTTTTTATTTGTCTAGCTATGAAAATTCTCTCTTTCAGTGAGGTATGCACTTCAATTTGTGAAAGTCAGTTTATGTGCATAAATGATGGAAAAGATATGTTAGACTATGACTAACATAGTCCTGTCTCAGTCACCCTGTCTACTACTGGTTGGCATTAGAAAAGACAGGAAGAGAAGATCCCTAAAAATGAAAACATAACATGTAAAATAAGACATTTTAGTATGGAACCCCAGTGCTCTTATGCAAGATATATGTAATAAAATAATGTCAATGAAATCCGGGTACATATTCTGACTCAGTTTACCAGGCATCAGTTACCAGGTGTGTGTGTGTGTGTCTATCTGCATATTTAGACTAATTACTTGATTCCTCTGGTGTTCTTCATCTTCCAAATGGGGAAAAAATACCTTCTTTGTATGACTATTGTGTTAAATGTGCTAATTACAAAGAGAATTTGAACAGTGCTTTTCACACAAAGTAGAAACTCAATAAATTATAGAAAGTACTATAGCTGCCATTATTAATGTGAAGGTAAGAGATTTTTGGAATCAAGTGTCTTGGAAGAACAATACACGCTGTATCTCAAATGTATTGAATTGGAATGGGTATTGCTACAAAGAATTTTAACTCAATATTTATGACTGTTTTATACTTAATGATGATAATTTATTATACAGATATTTTTTCTCAAATATATTGATTTACCACCACCATCATCCTGTTTTAATTAGTTATCTTACATATCTTGTAGAATTTACTCATGAAATTAATTTAAGGAGATTGAAGTTCACACAAACAGATATTACTTAGATTACTGTGATTTCACAGGACTGCCACTTAGGTTTTAGTCCATGAAAACCTCACAGCCTCAGTCCTTTTTTTTTTTAAATTAACCCTCATAATGGTTAGTTCAAAATATAGGCACTGAAATCTACTCAGTTACCATGTAGACCCCAATTTTCATATAAATTCCTTTTTCCAGTCATGTAATATAATTTGAACCAGAATATTCTGGAACATTCTAACGTGGATAGGTTAACACCTATTATCTTCATATGGTAATTTTGAACCTAGCTTTTTATCTTGGAGGCCTGGGCAGGAGTGTGAGGTCTTTCTTGGGACTACTAATTCCAGAAATTAAAATATACTGGGTGTGTATCAAAAATATCATTTCTCCAGGAGGGTTTAGGAAAATATGTTTCTTGGCATCTCTAGTTATTTCACGTAATTGTACTAAAATACATAGCCATTGTTTTTATATCAATTCTGCAGATATTCACTGAGTACCTACTGTATGCTTGGCAATGAAAGGTACTACAGGAGAATACAAATGTGAGTAACTTTAGTGTGCTCACAATTCTATAGTGATTATGTAGACCAGTCTCCATTAAAGAGAATGTGTCTTTCAAAGGGCTCAGGCAACATTATAAACATGTAAACTTAAAGGTAGTCATATCTATGGAGAATTGTTAGTCAACAAGCTGCTGTTTAGCATAGTAGAAATTTTAATAGGCAAATATTGCTTGTTAAGAGTGTTCCAAGCTGAAGGAACATGCAGAAAGAGCAGCATAGAATCAGTGTGTGTAGGAGACAGAAGCACTTTAATTGGAGCATGAACCAAATAAATGGGGATAATATGGGAGAATAATAGGAAGGTAGGACTCGGTTTGTAGTGCCAGGAGAGGGATTTGACATTACTGAACAGGCCTTTGGGATACTGTAGGTTTGGAGAACATCACTTGGTGATATGGAAGGAACAGAGATGGGCACATGCTTTCAAGAGGTCTGGAGACAATTGAAATAGAATGGACGTAACCTGATGGTGCATTAGGATGTATAGAAGGGAGGGAATATATCCCAAGATTTCTTCCTTTTCCTTTTTCTTTTTCCTTGTTAAGATATGACTTATGTGAATATTCCTGTAGACTCAGTAAAAAGCCAGGCAGGAGGAGAAGCTTTAAATGCAAGGAATAGAAGGGGAGCATATGGAGCAAGGCTATGTGAAATGACAAGGAGAGGAATTTCAAAGATGAGTCTGAATTTTGGCAGGAGGATGAGATTTGTTTCTCAGAGACAGAAACAAAAGGTGAAGATTCTAAGATGTAAAACAGGGAGCTTGTGTGTGAAGTATTCCTAAATAAACAAAACCCAATTGAGATGTTCTGCTTATGGGTGGGAGGAAGGGACTTGAGAGTAGAGCAGGCATGAACTACCTTATGGAGAAGGTAGTAAAGTGCTCTGGAGGTTCTTTGTTTAGATTAGAAAATGTAGACTTGTTTTCCAAGTACGATATTTTTGTGTGTGTGTGTGTGTGTGTGCACGCGTGTGCGCATGCATGCACACGTGAATGTGTGTATGTGTGTTCTGTATTGCTCAAAGTAAAGGCAGATAAAATAGTAGGATAGAATCCCAAACTGAGAATAGACTGGGCATTAGAGGTAAAAGGAAAAAAAAATGAGGACAGATTCCATGGAAGCAGAGGAAATTGCTTAAAGGTAGACCACAAGCTGAAGCGGGCAAGTTAGAAATGCAGACTTTGGTAGAAAAGTTAGGATAGATTGAATAATTGACAACAAGTTGATCGCCAAATCCCTGTTACTCCTTTTCATTTCAAAAACATAGATAAGATTGTATTACTCTTTTCTAGTGTTTCTTTGCAATAGCAGTGTAGTCATCATTTACATGTATATAGTATTCATTTTTTAATGAAAAAATTCCATTTTTTCCACTTAATGAGTGCAGTTTAAAAAAAAATTTTTTTTCATGCTAGGCATTGAACCCAGAGCCTCATCCTGCCAAACATGTGCTCTACCACTGAGCTACATCCCCAACTTAGGTTTTTTTCTATTTAAAATAATGATATTTATGAGTCAAGTATTGAACAAGCTCTGAGAATACAAATAATTTTAAGAGTCAGCCTTGGGCTTGGGTTGTAGCTCAGTGGTGGAGTGCTTGCCTAGCATGCGCGAGCCACTGGGTTTGATCATCAGCACCACATTAAAAAAATAATGAGTAACTAATAAAAAAATATAAATAAATAAAATAATAGTATTTTTAAAAAGAGTCATCATTGTCTGCAAGAAGCTTAGTTTATTAATATTTGTTATAAAATAATTGTTTTCTTTGAATAATGAAGGGAATTCAGTAGTGACCACGATTTAATGAGTGAATTATCTCATGATTGTGGGGGTGATGGTGATGATGATGAGAATGGTCATCATGATCATCATGATTGTGATCATGATCATGATCATGATTTTGGTAAGAGTTTCAGAACCTGAATATTGATCAGGTTTTTAATCTTATAGTTAATAAAAAAAAATAATGCACTTTTAACATCTCTTGATATATTGATTATTATCTTAAGACAGTTGCTGAAGAATGTCTTAAATATATATGTATATGGAATTGTGATTTGCAGAAGAGATGCTGGTGGCTTTCTGGGAGTAGTGTTTATAATTAAAATGTATAAAGAGATGCTGAAGGTAATCTATATTTATCCTTTTACTACAATTTCTGATCATATCAGTAGCCCTCTGAAGTGTGAAATAATCATGGGCATTTGGTTAATGAATTGTGCATTGTTGCTGTTCATTCATGGAATTTGCTCCTTTATTATATTTGATGCTTCACTTAACAACAAATTTTGCTTTCTCTGCGTTTGATATGTTTTTACCAAATTATTCCTGATTGTATCCATTAATCTTTAGTCACATTTGACAAAAATAAATTACTGTGATCTTTTAAAGTTACCAGTAATAATTAGATTTTTCAGGACATCAAAGTTTTTGGGGAACCACTAGATGTTAAAGGGCTTGTATAAAAATGTTTGCACAAGCTTTTTGATAAAATACTGTGCCCAAATGCAATTTTGGTGATGGAAAAGCGAAGGCTGTGGAGGGAAGAGAAGAATCTGTAGAGTCTTCATAATGAACCTTTGTTTGCATTCTCATCATTGGCATTTTCTTGAGAATCAATTTTCATTTGTTTCATTTGGGAATATTATTTTATAAACATAATATGCACAATTCTCCTCACGTTTTCCTGCAGGTCTCTAGGATCAATAGAAATTTCTTCACCATTTAACACCTCTGTGTCCAGTGTCTGGGCAGAAGCACAGCCCTGATGCCCAGTTGTGGGCACTTTGCTCCTAAAGGAAGCAGGAATAAGGAGCATCTGATAAATATATTTACTCCCTCAGGGTTCTACCAAGTGTTTTCATTAGTTATTTATATTCTTTTATGTGACTTTATCTCTATGTGTCTGGGATCACCCAGTGCATTTTAACTCTCATGGCTTCAGTTCACATTCCAGATAAGACTGCCTCTTGCTGGAGGAAAACATTAATTGTTTTTCTTTCTTAAAAATTCATATGTACTTTTAATTTATAATGGTGTCTGACTATCACCATAATTTTTCCACATCTAAGGCAGTTTTTTTAATTGGTTATTCAAAACATTACAAAACTTTTGACATATCATTTTTCATACATTCGATTCAAGTGGGTTATGAACTCCCATTTTTACCCCAAATGATGTGATTCTGATTCTAAGGCAGTTTTGCATAGTGATTAAGGACATAGTTATATAGATAGAAATAACTGAGGTCTAACATTGGCTTCCTTTGATTAGCTCCATTACCTTCCAG